GCATATTTAGAATATTTTTGTTTAATTAATTTTTAATTTTTTTTAATTCTCCAATTTTAGACTATTACAAAATTGGGGAATTAAAATTATGCAGTTAAATAGTAATTATTATAGGAGGCGAAGTATAGATGTCTCTCTTTGGAATATTTTGAAAAAAAAAACTTCTTTCTTTGGTGGATGGAAATTTATAAAAAGAAATTTATGTTTAAAAATATTGGGGCCGCAGACCTTGGACATTCCAACAGGACTCAGTACCATCGCACTCAGCACGCGGCACCCAAGAATGGCTACAAAATTAGGTTCCTCGCTTCATTTCCAGCGCACAATGGCCACCAAAATCTCCGGATACTAATCAGTTGGACTACAGAGTCTGGAGTATTTTGGAAAGCAAGCTTGGCACTAAAAAAATACCAAAGTGTCAATCACCTCAAGCAAGCGCTCGCGGGAATGGGACAAAATACCGCAGAGCAACATTCGGGTGGGCAGAGTGTGACGGTTTTATTGGCCGTTTGAAGGCCATAATTCGTGCCAAAGGCGATAGATTCGAACAATCTAAACTTATTGTAAAATATGATGCTATTTTCGATATTTTTTGCTTTCATTCAATAAAATTTAGAAATTATGGCGTTTGACTTTGTTGCTGTTTTTTTATCTTACCCTGTAGTTCCCATTACGACTTCTAAATACGAAATTTGAAACAACTCTGGTGAATAATGTCCCTAAAATCGTCAAAATGTCGAATATCGGGGTGTTCCACTGTAAGTGGGCTATATGGTATCGTGGACCTATATAGACATTTCTCTTCCAGGTGGTAAAGTGCTTAGCAGGAACTTCAAGTATGTATTTTGAGACAATTCCATTGAAAAATGTAGCTTAAATCATCAAAATACTGAATATAGGGAGGTACCGTCATATGGGAGATACGTGGACCTATATGGACAATACTTTTCCAGGGTGTGAATTGAGAAGAAGGAAATACTTTTGAGGATTTTCAGACAATTTCATTGAAAAGTTTGGCTACAATCTTCAAAATACCGAATATCGAGAGTACCTTTATATGGAGACCTAATTCTCTTCCAGGGGCTAAAGTACTCAGAAGGAACTCCTTGTGTGGATTTTTAGACAATTCCATTGAAAAATGTGGCTAAAATCATTAAAATACCGAATATCGGTAGGTGCCGTTATATGGGGGAAATACGTATTCATTTAATATATTTTTTTTTTTCAAAGGAATTTGGGCGATCGACTAAAAATATAAACATTTATTTTTATACTCTCCACCATATATAGCATGGAGTTAGTCAAGAAAATTTTTAATAAACCCTTAGAAATCGCTTTCTTGGGAACTTATTTTGAGATAAATGTTTAGACTGTAACAGACTTTTATTTTCATGTATTTTACGCTCAGATCGAACCCATTTGAGATCACTTAGTTCCCAACAAACAATTCGTATTCTTCTCATCCCACAAAATATACAAAAATCAATGGCTTTCAATAAAACCACTGCATACTTTTGGGGGATATGATATTCATTGCCAAAATATTTCCCCAAGCCATAAAATACATTTACATAACTTCCTTCATAAATTACTTAATTCCGGAACATACAACATTTAATATTCAACACATGAACTATGCTATTTAAATGGCTTAATGTTACAACTAAAAGAAGCAAAGATAGAAAGCAGAAGAAGAAATAAAACATTCAACAAATAATACTAAAACATGCAAATTATATATATTTTTGTTTCTCTTTTTTTTCTTTTGTTGTGTGCGTTGAAATATATTTTGTGTGTTATTATTACCTACAAACAAACAAACAGACAGTTAGACAGATAGACAAACGAAAGAAATGAGTGTTTTCTTACAGACAGACGCCAGCATCAACCATCAGCCAGTAATGAACGGAGGAGCAGCAGCAGCATCCAACAAACCACCAGCCAATAGAACATTACACAAATACACAGATACAATGGGTACAGTGGCTCAAAGTAAGGACATTTTTTATTTTTAGAATATGAAGGAGATAATCTTAAAAAATAAATATTGTTAAAATCTTGCAATCGAATCAGTATTAAAACCATTAATACAGATGGTAAGTTCCAGTTAGAATCTTGGCCTTATCAAAAAAAAAAAAAATCTGATACATAATCGTTTTTTTCAGATAACTTTCTGAAGGACTCTAACAGCAAAAATTATGAACTTTTCAAAAAGCTATAATTATGAATTTTTGGCAAGATTTTCTTAAGGATTTTTAAATCAAGTCAAAAATTATAATTCCCAAATTTTTCATAAAATTGACCCAGAAATTCTTGGATTTTTTTTGAATTTCATGGGGATTCTAGGGCATATTCGTGGATTTTTAGGGAGTTTTCTGATCTTTATCTAAGAACTCCATGAGTTACAACTATGAGATTTTGAAGGAGATTTTCCTGGGCAATTATTTGTATACCCTCCACCATACATAGTATAGAGAGTATATTAAGTTCGTAATTCCGTTTGTAACTCATCGAAAAAAAATTAGACCCAACAAAGTATATATATTCTTGATCAGCGTTTAATTCAAATACGATTTAGCCCTGTCCGTCCGTCCATCCGTCTGTTGCAATCATGCTAATTAAAATTAACTATATCGGTCCACGATATCGTATAGCCCCATATAACGTCCGATATTCGGTATTTTCAGGATTTTAGCAATATTTGTCAATGAAAATGTCTGAATTTCTACGCAAGAAATTCTTTGTGAATACTTTATCCCCTCGAAGAGAATTATCTATTTAGGTCCACGATATCGTATAGCCCCCATATAACGGTACCCTGATATTCTGTATTTTAATTTTCAAATGGAAATGTCTGAAATTCTACACAAGGAGTTCCTCGTGAGTAATTTATCCCCTGGAAGAGAATTGTCCATATATGTCCACGATATCATATAGCCCCCATACAATGGTCTACCCCAATATTCGGTATTTTGATGATTTTAGCAACATTTTTTCAATGGCATTGTCGGAAATTCTACGCAAGCAGTTCGCTGTAAGTACTTTACCCCCTGAAAGATAATTGTTAATATAGGTCCATGGTGCTATAGGATATAGCCCCCATACAATGGCGCCCCATCCCCTGATATTCGGTATTTGTATGATTTTAGCCACATTTTTTCAATGGCATTGTGGGAAATTCTACGCAAGAAGTTCGCTGTAAGTACTTTACCCCCTGAAAGATAATTGTTTATATAGGTCCATGATGCTATAGGATATAGCCCCCATACAATGGCGCCCCATCCCCTGATATTCGTTATTTGTATGATTTTAGCCACATTTTTCAATGGAATAGTCTGAAAATCCACACAAGGTGTTCTCGGTAAGCACTTTACCCCCTGAAAAAGAAATGTTAATATAGGTCCATGATATCGTATGACCCCATACAATGGCGTCCCGCCCCCGATATTCGGTATTTGGATGATTTAACCACATTTTTCAGTGGTCTGATAATCTAAGGAGTTCCTCCTGAGTGCTTTACCCCCTGGAAGGGAATTGTCTATATAGGTCTACGTTTTAGTATAGCCCCCCATACAACAATACCTCCCTTTATTCGATATTTTTAATATTTTCGCGACATAATTGACGGGAATTGCGTCAAATTTCGTATTTGAAGTTCGGAATAGTTACTACAGCTCATCACAACAAATTGGCTTATCCGGCACCACGTCTTTGTAAAGCGCCCATATAAAGGTTTTAATTTGAGCGGCATTTTTCGAAGGGTTTTTTTTTTTTAATTTTCAATTTCCTTCCGAATGGTGGAGGGCTTTAAAAGTTTGGCCCTTCCGAACTTAGCTGCTTTTCATACTTGTTTAAGAATATTCAAGGAATTTTAGATTCACAGGAATAGTTTTCTAAATATACTTTCTCAGACTATCAGTCTCTTGATTGTGGATTTTAAAGAATATTTTCTCAAGGACTTTTGCTCAAATGCTTATTTGGAGATAAGCGTTTTAGAAACTTCACAAGATTTATAATCTAATATTTTCAAAATTTCATAGGAGAGGCAGATTTACAATCATATGAGTTTCAGCAATAATTCCTCAAGCACGCCTTGATTCACAAGATTTTTTGAATGATTTGATTTTTTCAAGAATATTTTCTTCAGGACAGACAATATTTTAAAAATATGTTCCAAGGAGTTTTATACAACGGCGGAACTTCTATAATTATTTTCTCAAGAGTTTATAGATGAGTAGTGAAGAGATGCAATTCTGGCTCCTCACTCTCTCTCTCTCTCTCTCTCTCTCTCTATGAAATATGGGATTTTTAAGAATATTCTCCAAAACACCATCAGATTTTCTCAAGCATTATAAGATTTGTAAGAATATTTTTTCAAGGAATCAAGAACTAGAAAAATATTTCCTAAATAATAAGATTAAAAAATTTCCATAAATTTGTATTACTTTGAGCCACTGTTTTATATAAAAAGAATAAAAAAAATTACACCAAAAATACCAATACATTAAATGTAATAACTGTAAAAATGAAAAAAAAAAACACGAAATAAAACAACAACGACAAGGGCAACACAGGGATTCTCAGACATAAGAAAAACAAAAACCAAAGACACACACACATACAAAATCATACAAACAAAACAACACAAAACGGGCGAATAGCACAGCCCCACACAGGAATGAAAAGGAAAAACGAGAAAAAAGAAGAATATGGAAAAAAGCCATTTAAGAAGTCAAGAAAAGAAAAATAGAAACACTTTTTTAAGTGAGTAGTGTGAGAGAGCGAGCGAGTGTGTGTGTGCACTTGAGAACGTATGTTTTCATGTTTGCATGTGTGTGTATGTTATGGCCATAAAAACGTCAACAATAAGCCAACTATACAAATGCAAACACATGAACACACTCACACTCGCTCTCTCTCAAGACAAGGATAATGACAAAATTGAATATTTTCTAAAAAAAAAAAGAAAAAAATAGAGAAAACGTAAAACATTTACGCACCAATTTTCTGTTGTTATTCCTTTGGTTAGTGGTTGAGCTATTGTTGTTTTTTTAGTTGCTGTTGTTTTGTGGTTATTATCCTTCACAACACGAAAATGCTGGAGTTTATTTTTTGTTCATTTCTTTTTTGTTAATTTTAAAGCCGATTAGTTGACAGGCTGCAAAATGTTGTTGCCGCTGCTAAAGCTGATTTCGAATTTTAGTTTTGTTTCGTTTTTTTATCTTTTTCGTTTTAATTAAGGATTTCTTGTTGTTTTATTACTGTATTTTGGTTTATATAGTTGGCTTTGTTTAATTTCAGTATAACATTTTTTTAATTCAATTATTTATTTATTTATTTATGCCAACCCATTCCACCAGCCGGCCAGCCTTTCCAAAGTTTGCAATTTTTTTATTTGTTTTTGTTTTTCGTTTTGTTTTAACTGCTACTCATTCTTCCAGAATAGAGAGTGACTGAAAGAGAAATGGTTTTGCAATTTGCATAAATTAATTAATTCAATAATTGATTTCAATTAATTGAATACCATTTTTTTGTTAATGCCTCTCAAAGAGATTATGGTAATGTTTTTTTGTATTTTTATTGCCAATAAAAATACTTTAAAGTGCCAGTCGTGAAAGTTGAAGTGTTAAAAAAACGTAGCTGCAGCAGACGTATAAAAACAGGACATTTGAGGATATTTTCCGAAGACTAAATCGAGGTTTTTTCATGCAGTTTTTTATACCCCAAGCCATATGGCTACAGAGGGTTTATATCATTTGATACGGCCAAAACGTGTCTCATGGAAATAACGGTTTTAGACCTTAGGTCTCTTTGGACCAAATCAGACCAACATTTGGAGTCGATCTAGCGATGTCCGTCCGTCCGTCTGTCTATCCAGTCAGACGACTGGTGCGCACGATACCTCTCGAAGCAAGTATCCAATTTGATCTAATCTTGGTACATCGTAATATTACAGGGTGAGATAAAAAAAACTGCAACAAAGTCAAACGCCATAATTTCTACATTTTTCTTCAAAATTTATTGAATGAAAGCCAAAAATATCGGAAATAGCATCAAATTTTAGAATAAGTTTAGATTTGTTCGAATTGGTAACCTTTGGCATGAATTATGACCTTCAAACGGCCAATAAAACCGTCACACGCTGTCCGAATGTTGCTATGCGGTATTTTGGCCCATTCCAGGTGAAGCGCTTGCTTGAGGTGATCGACACTTTGGTATTTTTTAGTGACAACCTTACTTTCCAAAATACTCCGGACTCAATAGTCGGAGGGATTGGTATCCGAAGATTTTGGTGGCCATTGTGCGCTGGAAATGAAGCGAGGAACCTCATTTTGTAACCATTCTTGGGTGGCGAGTGCTGAGTGCGATGGTGCTGAGTCCTGTTGGAATGTCCAAGGTCTGCGGCCAAAATGTTTGCGTGCCCAAGGCTTTAATACAGCCTTCAGAATATTTTCGCTATAATATTCGGCATTTATTCTGATGCCACAGTCGATTAATATGAGCGGAAAGCGACAATTGGCTGTTATGGCGGCCCACACCATCACCATGGCCGCGCTTGAGTTCTGGTGGCCAAACGAAGGTGCACAGATTCAGCTGACCTCTTTGGCAAGTGAACACGATCATTTTGTTTGTTTACAATGTTTTCTCAACGGAGAAAACCAAATTCGCTAGTTCACCACTTTCGGCCAAGCGAAGCAAACCTTTAGCTCTTTTGAGTTTATTTTCTTTCTGTTGCGGTGTAAGTTCTTGCACTTTTTGGAAATTCAATGGCTTTAACCCGAGCTCATTTTTTAATATTTGCCGAATGGGATATTGCGATAGACTTCAGCTCACGAGCCATTTTTGGGCCACTCCGACGCGGGTTTCGACCAAGTCGCTTCTTTACTTTTCGAACCATGCACAGAAAGAGAAAGGATAGTCTGAATTTTGCACAAACTTTGCATATCCTAATATTTGCATCAGTTCTAGGTCAGGTGCGTAGATGGACAATATCGGTCGACTCCAAAAAGTACCTCCCCCACAATGGGTCAAAATTTTGTATATTTAAAACTCTTATAAAATGTGATGTAAGTGTCCGATTGTCTTCAAATTATAAACAAATCACCATATTTTTATTAACCAAAGGTCTGGTTTGAAGATGGAATATATCGGTCCACTCCTTCTGGTACCTGCCCCACAAAGGGCCAAAATTTCGAATATTCATGAATCTCATAAAACACGAAATTAACACCTGATTCCATTCAGACTTGACACATCTCAATATTTCCATCAACACAAGATCTGTTATAAATATGGTACAGATCAGACCATTTCTTCTGGTACCTCTCCCACAAAGGGTCAAAGTTATGAATAAGCAAAACGATCATAACATGGGAAATAAGCATCCGATTCTCTTCGAATTACACACATTGCAATATTTTTATTAACTCAAGGTCTGGTGTGAAGATGCAATATGTCGATCCACTCCTTCTGGTACCTCCCCCACAAAGGATCAATATATTCAGTGTCCATGAAATGCGAAATTAACATCCGATTCCATTCCGAAAAACGATCATAGAATCCGAAATAAGCATCCGGTTTTCTTAATATTTCATAGATACCATTTTTTCTACTAACATAAGATCTGCTGTGAAGATGGAATAGATCGGTCTACTGCTTCTGGTGCCTCCCCCACAAAGGATCAACATTTTGTGTATCCATAATGTTCATAAAACGCGAAATTATTATCCGACTCAATTCAGATTTGGTACTTCTCAATATTTCTATCAACACAAGATCTCTTAAAAAGATGGTAGAGATCGAACCATTTTTTTGGTACCTCACCCACATAGGCTTCAAGATTTTGAAAAACAAAACGCTGAAAGAAAGCGAGATAAGCTTCAAACTCTCTTCAAATTTCACACATCTAATCATTATTGCTAACACAAGATCTGTTGTGAAGATGATAGATATCTGCCAACCCCTTCTGGTACCTCACCCACAAAGTGTCACAATTTCCACAACTTATATCTGACATAACTTGCGAAACATGTTGGCGATTCTTTACAACTTGCTATATCTAACACAAAAAAAAAACGTTATTTTTATAAAAACAACAATAAAGGGATTAAGCCTGACCATTTTGCTACAACAAAATACTATGGTATCCCGAACAAACAAAGCCAACACTGTTCTATATCTAAGTATTTTTAGTTATTTTTTATTTATTTTCAATTTGTATATTAACCTATAATATAGTAACCCATAGGGCTATGGACGGTTCCAAGAACTTCTATACAAGACTACTCTAAATTAATTATAATATCCTTAATCTTGAAAGTCTTATTTAAAAATAACCATTAAACAAATTAACCAAAAAAAGAGAGCAAAATTGACAATTGAATGACGGTTCCAAAAACTTCTATAAAGGACAATTCTTAACTTTTTATAATATTCTTATCTCTTAACCAGAAATCTGGAATTTATGATTTCTTATAAAATTGGATATAAATCTTCCAATTTTGTTATCATTATTAGATGAAGTATGAAAATGGAATACTTCGGTCCGCTATATCTGTTACCCTTCGCACATTTCCACATTTTCCAAAAATTTGCACAAATCTCATTTAAATTATAGGAAGTAGTCTATATAGTCCAAATCTGTCATGTTGTAATATTTATATCAGTCTTAGGTCACATACGAATTGGTCAATATTGGCCAATGGCTTCGGAACCTCCCCCATAAAGAGTCAACAGTTTGAATAATCATAATCCAAGGTTGGGGGTATAAATCTGTCGGTAAAACCTGACTGATACTATTTTACTTGTTTTAGAACATTTCCTCAAATGCAGATAAAAATGAATTTTATTAGGAATATTTCAAAGATAAAGTTACCAAATTATAAATAATATATCAAATATCCATTTCCTTTCAAAAATTCATTGAATTTTTGAACTTTCCAATTTTAATTATATTTTTCGAAAATTGTAAATTTATTTTTCTCTCCTGGCAATCTTCGCAAAGCATGTTGTTCTTTCTTTAACAACGCTTGCAACCACAAACGTTGATTAAATGCTTCTGAAATGAAATTAAATTACCATCCAATCACTGACAAATGAAACGTTTCTTTTTAAATATCACCAAATGGATGTAATGGACATGAATACATACGTATTAATACATACATATGTGTGAGTATGAATATTTAATGGTTAAATTCCAAATACATATTGACATTAAATGGCAAATTGTATTACTCAATCGGTAGTGACATTAAAACCTTATCAATAATTATGTAAGTTTTTATTTTTATTTTTTTTTTGGTTTTTTATCTTTGACATTTGAATCAATAATTGAAAAATTACATTTCGTTATTTACAGTTGTGATTTAATAAAATATTGGAATTTGTGATTGTAATTAAATAAGCATTATGTAATAGAGAAAATGGAAAGGGGGTGAATTTTATGATGGATCATAGGAAAATGGAAGAATGCAATACAGAGTGTTTGATTATTTTGTAGCAAAAATCAGGCACAAAGAAACCCATAAAAAATAAAGTGTCTCGGACCTGTAAAATACGAATATTAAGTCCGTATCAATTTATGAGAGATATAATGGATCCATATTTAACAATTTTGGATAGGCGGTCTTTCACTTTTTAAAAAAAAAAAATAATAATTTCTGACAATTTCCACAAATTTTTAAACATCTGAAAAAGGCTTGTGCAGTAATAGGGCATTTGTGCCAAAACTTGTACTCATCAAGGCCTATATAAGGTCGACCAAGAAGACCATCTGACAACCAAGTTTTCTGTCAAAATATATTTTGAATTCACCCAATAAAATGGAACTCCCGCCGAAAGATATTGATGAAGAACTTAAATTAGGGCCCACTCCCTCCTACCCCACAAAATATCAAATTGTAAAGAAAAGATTTTCCTAATACAACAAAATCAGATCATAAAACTTTGTACATCCCAATAAAAGTATCATTGCTAGTTCAGGAGCGAATGTGGACGATATCGCCCTACCTATGGAGAACCTCCACCACATAGTGGTACAATTTTCAATATTTATCTCTCATAGCAAAAACTTGTAAACTTGTAAAATAATACCATTTGGTATTATGTCAAGGGATATAGCTATAAATTTGAAATTTGGTATTAGAATCGAGGTTGGAAAGTAAATTCGATAAATGAAGATGGTTTTGGAATTGTGTACTAAGTGTCCCAACTTTATTTTATGCGAAATCATGAATTCCAAATTCATCTCAAGTTTCTGGTTGGGAGAAATATTCAGATATAGCAAGTTTTAAAGTATCGCTGACTTGTTTCGCAAGTTATGACAGATAAAAAATTGTATTGAAAATTGTGACCCTTTGTGGGTGAGGTGCCAGAAGGGGTTCGCAGATATATATCATCTTCATAACAGATCCTACTTCAGCGAAAATATTTGGATGCGTGAAATTTGAAGAGAGTTGGATATTTATTTCGCTTTCCTTGAGCGTTTTGTTTTTCAAAATCTTAAACCCTATGACGGGGAGGTACCAGAAGAAATGGTCTGAGTATAACCAAGTCTGGAATGAAATCGGATGTTAATTTCGCGTTTTATGAGCTTCATGGATATTCCAAAATTTGACCCTTTGTGGGGGAGGTACAAGAAGGAATGGACCAATATATTCCATCCTCACACCAGACCTAATAAAAATATTGTGATGTGTGATTTAAAGAAAACAGGATGGTTATTTCGGATTTTATGATCGGTTTGATTATTAAAAATGTTAACCCTTTGTGGGGGAGGTACCATAAAGAATGATCCGATCTCTACCTTTTTTATAACAGATCTTTTGTTGATAGAAATATTAATTGCCGAGTCCGTATGGAATCGATATTAATTTCGCGTTTTATGAGTTTAATGGTTATTCAAAATTTTGACCTTTTGTGGGGGAGGTACCAGAAAGTTTAGACCGATGTATTCCGTATTAACACCACATCGTGGGTTTATAAAAATATTAGGATGTGTGAAATTTTAAGACAATTGGATTCTTACATCACATTTTTTAAGAATTATAATTTTTGAAAATGTTTACTCTTTGTGGTGGAGGCACTTGATGGTGTGGACCGATATTATCTATTTTTGCATCTGAGCTAGAATTGACGCAAATATTAGAATTTGCAAAATTGGAGCAAAATCGGATTATTTCTGTGCAGAAAATATTTTTTTGTTGTTTTTTTTTTTTTGAAATTTTGACTTTTTTGGGCGGAGGTACCAGAAAGAGTGGACGGATACATTCCATCTCGGCACCAGACCTTGGATTAATAAAATTATTTGGATGTGTGAAATTTGAAGACAATTGGACTTTTACATCACATCATCATAATTAATCAAAATGTTGACCCTTGGCGTGGGAGATACTTGATAGAGTGGACCGATATTCGCACCTGACCTAGCACTGATGCCAGTATTAGAATTTGTAAAGTTGGAACAAAATCCTTTCTCTTTCTGTGCAGTAAATTCTTTGAAAATATTGATATTTTGTGGTGGTGGTTCCCTAAAGAGTGGACCGATATTGTCCATTTCCGATGTATTATTACCATGTACCAAGTTTGGATCAATTCGGATACTCCCTTCGAGAGTTATCGTAAGCACCAGCCAGAGAAACAGACAGATGAAAGGACGAACGGACATCGCTAGATCGATTCCAAACATCCTGAAAGGGATTTGGTCCAAAGACACCTAGGGTCTAAATTCGTTATTTCTATGAGTCACGTTTTGGCCGTATCAAATGATATGTACCCTCTCTAGCCCTATGGCTGAAGGTATAAAAATGCAGCACAATTATTAAAATGCCAAATATCGTAGAAAAGTTATATGAGCCCATGCGAAGAAAACTCCAAAGACCCATTTTGGGATAATTTATTTGAAAAATGTGGCCCAAATCGGCATAATATCGGAATATACTATTATATGGTGGATATGTGAAGATGTCGACTTGTATGGATAATTTTCTGTCATAGGAAGTGCTACCCACTAAGAAATCTAAATTTCAAATTTGAAATAATTCCGGTGGAAATTGCATCGAAATCGTAGAAATTCCGAATGGAGAGAGGTAGAATTGTGTGGGGAAAATACCAAAACTTGGACCTATATGGACGGTTCTATGTGAGGATTTTAACTACATACTGGACAGCACAAATTACCAATTTGCAGGATATCACCCATTTTCAATACTAACTATTTTTCGAACCTAAAACCTATACATCTGAGTAAAATTTCTATCAATTTAATTCATTTCGTGAGAAAGCTATTGTGATTTCCACAGACGGAGAGAAAAACGGAAGGATATGGCCAAATCGACATTTTATGCTGGCCAAGAATATATTTACTTCGGTTCAAAACCGAATCGGTTCAGTACTGGTTTGCATCTCTGATTTTAAGCTTTGGAATGGACCTTTTCCAATTAGTATAAGATCCTAAAGCCTGCATAAATTTCTCAAAATTATGGATACAAATTTAAAAATTTCACATTTAAAGTGCTATTCAAAGCAAAATTAATTTTTTAAAAATAATTCTAGCATTTGTATTTTTTCAATGGAAAAATCGAAATTATTTGAATCACAACTGAAATACTTCAGCCATTGGAGCGTATACTCAACACGAATTCCTTCGCATTTCAATTGAAACCACAGGCAATGAACACCCAAGCGTATGATTTATTTTATTTGCCAATAACCCGTGGCATACTCGAACGACGCAGACAAATAGCATTCTTGGAATTTTCTGAGAGTTTGACTATTTTCGCAACCAAAGCGAAGCTATCAATATGCCTTTCCATCAGTTATTTGTTTGACTTCATTAGCATTTAACCCAATACAAATGTAAATGTGTGTGCGTGCGTGTGTGTACGCATGTTGAACATACATACATACATACACACACACGCACACAAGCAATGTTCTTAGGAGACTTAATGACGACATCAAGGACCCAAAGTTGGGTGATTACGAGTTTAAGTCATCAAAGATAATAATAACAACAATAAACCCAAATGGAATGGTGTAAATGAAAGGAGGACCAAACCACGCCAGGCTAAAAATACAAACTTTAAGCCAAATAATTTTGAAAGAAAAACTATGCCATTTCATGGCTTCAAAACTCAAGTCGAACGAAAAACAAAAAAACTCTTAAATGACGAAATTGCTGCTGTTCTCTGATTTTGAGGTCGTCGTTATAGTCTGCCGCCGCGTCTGACGCCAAACAAGAAATTATTACTACTTCTATTTTTGCTTCTTCTTCGGCGACTGGCACTTGAGGGGAATTTTTTTTTTGGAATGGAGTCATTTGAAATCCACCCAGTTACATGCTTTGATTTGTCTCCACCCCCCACCCCTCTCCTCCATCCTTGCTTGGCTTAGTTTCAACAACTTTCACTTTCAATCTTCAAATGAAGGGGGGAGAGGGCATCTAACTGCTGCTGGTTGTTTTTGTTAGTATTTTGTTACACGATTACACAACACAATGACAGAACTCTTTTCCGATTTTTTTCTATTATTTTTGTCAAGTTGTTGTTTGTTTTAATTAATTTTTTTCTTTCATTCTCTAATTTATGGCATTTGCTTTAATTGTTGTTTAATATTCTTGTATGGATTGTTGTTGCTTCTTTGTATTTGCAACCGCAATTAAATTATTGATGAAGTTATTCACTCTTGGCACACTCACACACACACACACATGTGTTTCCATTACCACTTCTTCTTTTTTTCTTTGGCCAATATCTCTTTTGAGCCGTGGAGGACATTAAATGGATTAATGACCCAGCATTATATTTCGTTTTGTTGTTATTGTTTAGCAACTTTCACTTTTCTTCCACTCCTTCTTTTCTCACATATTATTTACTTTCTTCTTTTGCCTTTCTTCTGTTTTTTTTTTGCCTTTGCTTTTTTGTTGTTTTGTTTGCTTTCTTTTTTTTATTAACTTCTAATAAAAACACACTTCAACGTTTGGTTTGTTTCTTTGGTTTGGTCGTTTCTTTCTCTTTTTTGTTTTAAACCACGTCTGAATGGCTTGAACTCTGAGGACGGACTAACGGTAGACTGTCGGAACACAGCACTAGAAAACTTCGACTGCCTTACAAGTGTCAGTTGTCCATTGTGTTTGAAGGATATCCCCCATAAATATTCACCTCACCTTTTGTCAACAATGAGTTGAAAAGAGAGTGAGAGAGAGCGAGCATTGCATTTGCATGATAAGCCCAAGAGAGCAAAATATGAACAATCAACCTAAAGAGCATTTAAAGAGAACTTCAAGTCAATTGAAAGCCAATAAATGTTTTGCAAAAAAGGACCATCGAAAAAGTGTTCGATTAAGGTTTTGAGACAAGTGCATAAATTAACCCAAGAGGTATTGTTTGATTTGTTAAAAAAAGGATTTGTTCTTGCTTGGCTGAGGGACAGAATTGCAAGGGGTTATAAAAAATAAAGAAAAGTTTCACTTTTAAGGATAAGAATCCCCCAACAGATCTCGAATATATAGCAGACCTTCAAAAGGTAATGAGTAGATGTAATACTGTGACGAAATTCGAGTTTAACTGAACTAAGTGAACACTGTATAATTACCCTGAACTGGCTTATTGGACTTTTTATACCCTAGACCACAAGGTGGTCAGGGTATTATGTCTATGTGCATTTTTTTTTGTAACAAGCAGGAAACCAGATAGACCCATAGTTCCTTTTGATGATCTGCATCGAATAACATTCTGAGTCGATGTATGCATGGCTTCTGTCCATGTATTTTTTGTAAACAAAATACAGGTCGCATTTATTGCCCGATTCACATGAAATTTTACACAAACCATTTGTTTGACCCAAGGACGAACTCTATTGAAATTGAAGATAATCAGTCAAAATTTAGAAATAGGTCCCATATATAACAGCAAAATCAGCAGAAATGGTTCGAAAAGTAAAGAAGCGACTTGATCGAAACCCGTGTCGCAGTGGCCAAAAAATTACTCGTGAGCTAAACATATCTCAATATTCCATTCGGCAAATATTGAAAAATGAGGTCGGAATAAAGCCATTGAAATTCCAAAAAGTGTAAGAACTTACACCGCAACAGAAAGGAAATAGACTCAAAAGAGCTAAAGAGTTGCTTCGCTTGGCCGAAAGTGGTGAACTGCCGAATTTTGTGTTCTCCGATGAGAAAACATTCGTTGTCCAGTAGTTTGTAAACAAACAAAATGATCCTGTTTACTTGCCAAAGAGGTCAGCTGAAAATGTGCTCCTTCGGTTGGCCACCAGAACTCAAGCGCCGGTCATGGTGATAGCGAACATATTCTGGAAGCTGTATTAAAGCCTCGGGCACGCAAACATTTTGGCCGCGGACCTTGGACATTCCAACAGGACTCAGCATCATCGCACTCAGCAAGCGCCACCCAAGAATGGTTACAAAATGAGGTTCATCGCTTCATTTCCAGCGCACAATGGTCACCAAAAAGCAAGGTTGGCACTTAAAAATACCAAAGTGTCGATCACCTCAAGCAAGTGCTTCGTCGGGAATGGGTCAAAATACCGCAGAGCAACATTCGGGCAGCGTGTGACGGTTTATTGGCCGTTTGAAGGCCATAATCTAAACTTATCCTTAAATACGACGCTATTTCCGACATTTTTTTGCTTTCATTCAATAAAATTTAATAAAAATGCAGGTTCAGTTCTTCGTATAAAATTTAAAAAAAAAAAATGTAAAAATTGAGGTGTTTGACTTTGTTGCAGTTTTTTCATCTCACCCTGTACAATTAAACCAGTATAGGCCTATTATGCGCTCTAGACTAAGAGGTTGTTAAAAGAAGACAGAAGGCAGAATTCCTTAACTGCGTTATTTCATTTATCATGATCTGATTTAGGTCCGGTATGGAGTCCTTCCCCAAGAATTGGGATCTGATATTTGTAAAAGCCTGACATTGCCAGAGAATGTGCTCCAATGGTTCATTATCTTCCCGCACGTACTGTATATGCTGTTATCCGCACATCCTATCTTGTACAAGTGAGCTTGTGAGCCCAGGAGCCCCGTAAGGCTGCCTGTTACTCCACTAATCTCTTTCTTGCCTAGTAATAAAAGGTTATTCGTTTCTATCTCATGGGGGTCTCATGGGGTAGACGTGACACATTTAGCGGCATTGGATTTTCCAAGTTTACTGTTCGTTATCGCGTTATCCCTTATCCCCTCATCACCTGGTACCCATATAATGCGTACTGAGCCGTATTGAGAATACTTTTTTTTATTGAATTTATACATTCCAAAACAAGCTTTAAATGTAAAATAATATTGGAATTTCAGGGTCGATTTAAAATATGAGCTTCCCAATTTTTTATTCATTTACATTGCAAGCCAAACGATGACTTATCATGAAAAATCTGCTTATGAATTTCGTCCTTAGGTCCTTCAACGATACTTGTTTGGTTGATCTTGTGTAGATACATGGCTTCTGTTAGCCTTATATAGAAATAGATGCTATTCTTACGCCTTTCTTTAATAATTTGATGTATTTGAAGCCTTTTTCTTTTTCCTTTTTCTATTAATAAAAGGTTTTCAATAGGTCTTGTAAATATAGTAAATCTTCTAAAGCCATCTTTACTAGGAAGAGTACCCACTTTAATGTTTTGGTTTCAAACATTTCAAAATCTAAATTCTTTTGAAAGCAACAACTGGTAAATGGCTTCGATGGACTCTCTTTTGTTGTCTCGCTCTTTCCAACTCTCTCTCCCTGCGCAGTGGTTAAATTTTAAATGACTTTCTCTTTTTGAAAGTCACCACACTGTTGGACACCACCATTTGTTATTGTTTTTCAATTCTTCGTCGTTATCCTGTCGTGTTGTTTCGAATTGGAATTTTTGCGAAATGAGAACACTTTTGTTTACTTGTTGTGGACAATTTGTTTTGACCGCCTCAAACGAAGACAGAGACGGCTGACAGAATGAATGGGAAAAATACCAAAAAAGGATAAAATATTGAAATTCCAGAATTAGGTTTTTATAAATTTCTATTGAATATTTCCAAACCTCATAAGTTACACATATCGAAGCGATAACTTGTTTTCCCTAGTGTCCTTAGCCAAAAGATGAGTCATTGTTATTGTACGTATTATGTTATATTTGTTGTTTTTATTTTTGTGTGTGTGTGTGTGTTTTTCTGTTGTTCTCCAAGTCTCTTCTCTTTTTTTGTTTGCGTATGGAGGAAGAACTCTTGTTTGTAACTGACTGAAGGTAAGGTCAAAACAAACAGCAAAACAATAACAAATACGAATTCTAACAAAATATCATATATTTGTGTGTCAGGACATGTGTGTATACATATGTATTTACATTTGTATGTGGGGGGGAAATGGAAAGTTTCTACTATTTGAGAATAGAAAATATTTACAATAGTTTGGATGACAAGATGTTTACGCATTAAAACAATATTTTTCGATTGAGAAATAAAATATAGGGATTGATCTAATATTGAATGCCCTACGACACTATTTAAACTACTGAGAGAAAGAGAGAGAGATAGAAAGATGGAGGGAGACCATAACACCTCACATGGAGAAATTGTAAAGAGAGAAAAACACATCAAGAAAATAAAGATCTTTCATTTGCAGAAGACAACATGTTTTATAAACTATTGTATTTACCGAAATTCTTAGAACTGTTACGTACCCAAAAATACAAAAAAGATGTAAAATGGTATCAGTCAAAATTCGTCTCTGACCTAAGACTGATAAATATATTACAAAGTGCCATATTTTTATTGGCAAAAGCCTTTTAAAATCAACAACTTCTTTAGAGACCCATAGTGCGTATGACTAATAAAAATAATTGGCAATTTGTACAGATCTAGCCATAACTCCCTGATCTATGGTTACAGAAACATAATTCAAATTATTATGTTATTGTTAAAAATGTGGTAAAAATAGTAAATCCAAAAAAGAAAAAGAAATTGAAAAAAAAATTCTGTTTAATTCTAATTCTCAAATATCCAGACGACCTCATCTGAAGTCTCAAAATCACTGATTCGATAAAGAATAGAATATCGAGCCTTCATTCTCAGGACTTCAACAAACAAATCTATATTTTTATTAGCAAAAGCCTCTTAAAACGAATTACTTCTTAAGATACCCATGGGGCGTATGACTAATAAAAATTATTGACAATTTGTAAGGATTTAGCCATAACTCCCGCATCTATGGATATCGAATTATAATTTAAATGGTTTTGGAATCTTCAGACATGTAGCAAAAATAGAAAATTGTTATGGGTGCTTTACTGTTAAAAAATATATAAAAAAAAATATAAAACTGAAAAAAAGCTTTTTAAAAGCCTCAGAAAAAAATAAATATTTTAATTCTAACTCTCAAATATCCAAATGCCCTCATCTTAAGACGTAAAATCACTGATTGGTAAATACTAGAATAACCAGCCTTCGTTCTCAGGCTTTCAACAAAGAAATCCGTATTTATATATTGCAACCAACTTTAGACTGCTGTCATTTCTAACCCACTGGTCCGACAGCTGTTAAAATTATTCCAGTGACACCTCATTATATTGTTTACAAGCGTACCAAAGCTTTCTGGTGAGAATTTTTCAGAAAAAAGTTATTCGCGATGGAATTCAAGCGTGATAGTGTGACTTCTTTATATTTGACTGCAAAACCACAAGTGGCTATCGTTAGAGCACTCCAGCATTTAAATGTGAATAAATCTTTTGTGTCCAGTACCATCGCTCGTTACCGTGATACTGGTAGCGTAGCCCGATGTCAAAGAAGTGGACGGAAGAAAACAACAATATCAGCAGAAATGATTCGAAAAGTAAAGAAGCGACTTGATCGAAACCCGCGTCGCAGTGGCAGAAAAATGGCTCGGGAGCTGAACTCTATCGCAATATTCCATTCGGCAAATATTGAAAAATAATAATAATGCAGAATTTGCACCGCAATAGAAAGAAAATAGACTCAAAAGAGCTAAAGAGTTGCTTCGCTTGGGCGAAAGTGGTGAATTGCCGAATTTGGTTTTCTCCGATGAGAGAACATTCGTTGTCCAGCAATTTGTAAACAAACAAAATGATCGTGTTTACTTGCCAAAGAGGTCAGCTGAAAACGAGCACCTTCGGTTGCAAACATTTTGGCCGCAGACCTGGGACATTCCAACAGGATTCAGCACCATTGCACTCAGCACGCTCCACCCAAGAATGGTTACCAAATGAGGTTCCTCGCTTCATTTCCAGCGCACAATGGCCATCAAAATCTCCGGATACCAATCCGTTGGACTATTGTGCCTGGAGTATTTTGAAAAGTAAGGTTGGCACTAAAAAATACCAAAGTGTTGATCACCTCAAGCAAGCGCTTCGCCGGGAATGGGCCAAAATACCGTAGAGCAACATTCGGGCAGCGTGTGACGGTTTCATTGGCCGTTTGAAAGCCATAATTCGTGCCCAAAAGTGACCAATTCGAATAAATCTATACTTATTCTAAAATTTCCTATTTCCGACATTTTTTGATCTTTGTCGACCGATGAAAAAGGCTTAGGTTGTGGGACAGATAAATACTCTCCTCCTATACTAGATGTCGTTTCTGTAGGTCGATCTATGATTGGGCGCCAGTAGTAAGAGTGGATCTCTTCATGACAGGAGCTTTTCTGGTCTAGCTGGATAGATTGAGGTTTATAGATAATATCTCGCTGAGGGTGTAATAGAATGATTTCGATATTTCCTTAGATGACGCTTTAGGTTGTGGGAAAATGTTGTGGAACGACCTTAGATGCGTTTCAGTCTGTCCTATCCAGGAGCAATGTCAGTGTATCGGACAGTATGGAGTGAAGGGTACGCGTTTCTCAGATGTCAGGTTCTTGATCTACATGCAGAAGACCAGACCTATCATCGCCTATGCCTTCCCTAAGGTTATTACAGGGGAAAATATTCCGCTTCTGCCAATTATTATTATTGTTGCAGGTCGATCCAACTTAGTGACAAAAAATGCTCTAGCCAAATGCCAGTTCATAGACAGTAGCATTTTAAAGGATATTATTAGATGTTTTGGCGATACGAAGAATTTGCATTCTTTCAAGGTTGTACGAGCTGAGCTTGCTCTACGAAGATGAGGGCCTTCGGTTTTACCGTAGAATATTATTAGCCTCGGGTTGGAGCAAAGTGGTTATACTTATCGATCAACTCTCCATTTAACCTATGTAAATATTAAGATTTGAATTAATAAAACGATCGCAGGATTAATCGTACTCATAGGCCCTCAACAAAGTAAGCAAAATAACCTAAGATTCCAAATATGGTAAAGGCTCTGTGTAATTTAGAAATACATTGAAAAGCTTTGAAATACGGCTATGACCTATCATTAATGTAATATTTTGTTGTATTTTTGCGTTTGGCGATTGATATGTTCCATCCGATTCAGTTTTTCAGTCCCTCACATTCGTAATATGCATTCGACACCAATGATATTTGGTACCAGATATCTGAAAGAACTCGGAAATACCTCTGCCAAATTTTATCGAGAACGGCTACGATTTGGATATGGCTCCCATATATGTCCTTAATCCGATTTCAGATTTATTGTCCCCTTATTTCGCTAATATCAGTCCAAATGGAGCCGGAAATTCGGCTACGATATATATTTTTATGCCCTACACCACAAGGTGGTCAGGATATCATGTCTTTGTGCATTTGTTAGTAATAGGCAAACGGAAACGAGATAGACCCATAGTTCCTTTTGATGATCTGCATAAAATCACATTCTGAGTCGATTTATGCATGTCCGTCCGTCCGTCTGTCCATGTATTTTTGTAAACAAAGTACAGGTCGCATTTATTACCCTATCCAGATGAAATTTTGCACAAATCATTTGTTTGGCCCAAGGACGAACCCTATTGAAATTGAAGATAATCGGTAAAAATTTAGATATAGCTCCCATATATATCTTCGTCCGATTTGCCTTTTATTGTGCACCAAACGTGTAATATCATCCCGAATAGTATGGAATTTTGCACATACAACCAAATTTGGCCTGAAAATAAGTATGCCAAATTTGATCGAAATCGGTTCAGATATAGCTATAGCTCCCATATATGTTGTTCATCCGATTTGTTATTTTTGTCCTCCGCAGCCGTAATATGCACTCTGTAACAACAATATTTGGGGAAATATATCGAATGTAGCTCAGAAATACATTTGCTAAATTTTATAGAGATCGGTTCAGATTTGGATATAGCTTCCATATATAACTTCGTCCGATTTACCTTTTATTGTGCACCAAATGTCTAATATTTGCCCAAATGGGAAGGAATTTGGCACATGCGACCGAATTGAGTCTAGAAGCTAGTATGTCAAATTTGGTGAAGATCGGTTCAGATATAGCTATAGCTCTGCATCCGATTTGTTGTATTTGTTACCCACAGCCGTAATACGCACTCCGTAACAACGATATTCAGGGAAAAATATCAAATACAGCTCAAAAATATCTTTGCCAAATTTTATCAAGTTCGGTTCAGATTTGGATATAGCTCCCATATATATCAAATGGGCAATACAGGTCCGAATTTAAAAGATACAAATGCTTCGGCATATTCAGTCCCGTGAACTTTAAATTCTAATTATAATCATAGCGTGTGTGTTTGAATTCTCCCATAAAAACTTTTAATTGTTATGTGGAGCTCTACTAAATAAGCAAAGGGGTGTAGGGTATCATAAAGTCGGTCCCGCCCTTTTTCTTTAAGACTTTCTTTACTGGTTTTTTTAGAATTTCCGAGATTCAAATCAATATCTAAAATTCAAATAAAACATAAATTGGTTTATATTTTTAATTAATTTATTTTTTTTTTTTTATAAAAACTATAACTTTACAATATTTTTAAATTTTATTAAAACTAATTGCAAATATGTTCATGATCATAAAAAATACATTAAAGAAGAGAATAAAGCAAAATTATAAACATTTCTACACACACACACTCACAGCAACACCGACAAAGCTTTTCCAAAAACACCTCGGAGTCAGACCAACAAAATTTACGCCTAAATGCCAGCGACAGTCAATGAACTATGAATGAAACGATTTGCGATTTTCTACAACTGCTGTGCCTATGTCCTGCGAGGTGGTGGTCGGTGTTTAATGGTCTGTACTCCTCATCGAACAGCGGCGCAACTATGCGGCCATCATTGTTTGTATCCATGGTAAATATGTGGCCACATTAACATAAACACCGGGTACACCTGCTGTGGCACAGCCGATGCCCCAGGCCACCATGCCGACCACATACCAAATGCCATTACTTTGGCAGACCAGGGGTGAGCCGCCATCTCCCTGTAGGAGTGAAAAGAAAAAGCAAAACAACATTAAATGCATATCCCAACCAAAACACCCAAATATGTTTGTGTGTGTGTTTTGACATAATTGCAAGATTTCCCCATCTATCCGAACTACATATCCTCCCCATATCCACTTACCGTACACGCATCCTTGCCCGCCTCACCGCCGGCACATATGAAACTTGCATTGTCCAGCACAAAGGTTGCCCCCAACCTCGTCTGACGCAATGCAGCCTGACAATCGGCATTCGGTATCAGCGGCACATCGACTTCACGTTGTATGGCCTGATAGGCACCGGTGGGACCAAAATCATTTTTACCCCAACCCGCAACATAACAACGCTGACCCACAAACGAGGTGGTGGGTAGGCAAATGGTGCCCACGGTTGATTTGCTTGTCAGCGACACTGGTGTGGCCAATTTCAGCAGGGCCACATCGTTTTGAAGATTATCCTTGTTGTAGTTGGGATGAATGAAAACATTGGCGACCATCACATCCTGAGCCGGTATGGGTTCGTTGGTACTGGCAGCATCCCATTCACCAATCCGAACCTTATACGAAGTGATGCTAGGAGGAAATACATAATTAACCCTGAAAGAGTAGAGAACAAGTTCCACTTACGGTAAATTCGCCACCTTATGGGCCACAGTGAGCACATGTTGGGCCGATATCAAGGCCCCGGATCCCAAATAAACCTCTCCCGTTGTCAATAGGGCCGCTTGCCATGGGTACTCACCAAATGATGCCTGTCCCGTACTGGCTGGCAAACTATTCGGTGGCGGTGGATAGCTGTGCCCGCACTGATATGTTCCGGCCTGACAACACACCGACAGACCATAGTTACAGGTAAATGGTGTTGGAGTTATTGCCGGCGCGGAGCCCTGTAAACATTTAATGCAAATGTTGTGGAGAATTTTGAATTAATTTCCGGAAAGATAGTAAATATGTGTAGCCTACCGTATTTACAATTCGTATATCGATTTGTCCACTACCATCGTTCGGTGGTGTAGGCAGGGGATTTGGACATGATCCAGCCGGAACGCAAATACAATAGGATGTCGGTGTTACGATATAGGGATTTATGGTACCCGATATTAATTGTCGAGTCATAACTGAAAGGGAAAAATAGGAGGAGAAAACTGGAATTAGAAGAATTGATATATCTCCATGTGGATATTATCCTAGGCACCTATGCCATTGGAAACCAACAAGAAACGGTCGATCTTTCCGAAAAAAAGTTGAATGGATATACATCACTTGCACAAAAAAAAAGACCAGCAAAATGGTCAAGGCTAAGTTATTTGGCCTTCTTAGTTTGAAGAAAATCTATTTCGCATATTGCCAAAGGTATTACCAGTAAAGAAAGTCTTAAAGTCGGGCTGGGCCGACTTTATGATACCCTACACCACTTTGCTAATTTAGTAGAGTTCTGCATAACAATTACTGCTTAAACATGCCGAAGCATTTGTATCTTTTAAATTCGGACTTGCACAATTAACTTGAAATCGGATAAAGATATATATGGGAGCTATATCCAAATCGGAACCGATTTCGATAAAATTTGGCAAAGATATTTCTGAGCCGTATCTGATATATTTCCCTGAAAATCTTCGTTACGGAGTTCATATTACGGCTGTGGGTAACAAATATTACAAATCGGATGAAGAGTATATATGGTAGCTATAGCTATATCTGAACCGATCTTCACCAAATTTGACATACTAGCTTCTAGACTCAATTCGGTCGTAAGTGCCAAATTCCATCCCATTTGGACAAATATTAGAGGTTTGGTGCACAATAAAAGGTAAATCGGACGAAGTTATATATGGGAGCTATATTCAAATCTGAACCGATTTCGATAAAATTTAGCAAATGTATTTCTGAGTTGTATTTGATATATTTCCCAAAATATTGTTGTTACAGAGTGCATATTACAGATGCGGAGGACAAAAATAACAAATCGGATGAACAATATATATGGGAGCTATAGCTATATCTGAACCGATTTCGATCAAATTTGGCATACTTATTTTCAGGCCTAATTTGGTTGTATATGCAAAATTCCATACGATTCGGACTGATATCATACGTTTGGTGCACAATAAAAGGCAAATCGCACGAAGATATATATGGGAGCTATATCTAAATTTTGACCGATTATCTCCAATTTCAATAGGGTTCGTCCTTGGGTCAAACAAATGATTTGTGCAAAATTTCATCTGGATAGGACAATAAATGCGAGCTGTACTTTGTTTACAAAATTACATGGACAGACGGAAGGACGGACGAACATATAACATAAATCGACTCAGAATGGGATTCTATGCAGATCATCGAAAGGAACTATGGGTCTATCTCGTTTCCTTTTGCCTGTTACAAACAAATGCACAAAGACATAATACCCTGACCACCTTGTGGTGTAGGGTATAACTAGTAAAATATTATCAGGCGGTTTTGCCGACAGATGTATACCCCCAGCCTTGAGTTATGATTATTCAAACTTTTGATCCTTTATGGGGGAGGTACCAGAAAGAGTGCGCCGATTTATCCGATTTTCACAGCAGATCGTGTGTTAGTAAAAATAATGGCATGTGTGAAATTTGAACAGAACCGGATGTTTATTTCGGATTATATGACCGTTTTGGTTACTCCAAATTTTGATACTTTGTAGGGGAGGTACCAGAAGAAATGGTCCGATCTCTGCCATCTTCATAACAGATTCTGTGTTGATAAAAACATTCAGATTTGCGAAGTCTGAATGGAATCGGATGTTAATTATGAGTTTATTCAGATTTATAGGTATTCAAAATTTTTAGCCTTTGTGGGGGAGGTACCCAAAGGAGTGGGCCGCTATATCCCATCTTCAAGGCCTGATCTTGTGTTAGTATAAATAATAGGATTTGTGAAATATGAAGTGAACCAGATGCTTCTTTCGGATTTAATAATCGTTTTGGTTATTCGAAACTTTGGCCCTCTGTGGGGGGAGGTACCAGAAGGAATGGTACATCCCCCACAATATCTTGTGTTGATAAAAAGGATTTAGATTTGCGAAGTCTGAGTGGAATCGAATGTTAATTTCGCATTTTAGGAGCTTCGCCAGGTTTTATGATCGTTTTGGTTATTCAAAATTTTGATCCCTTGTGGGGTGAGGTACCTGAAGAAATGATTTGATCTCTGTCCTCTTTTTAACAGATTTTGTGTCGATGGAAATAGTGACATGTGTCAAATCTGAAATCGGATGTTAATTTCGCGTCTTATGAGCTTCATAGATATTAAAAATGTTGACCCTTTGTGGGGGAGGTACTTGATGGAGTGGACCGATCTTGTCCATTTTCACACCTGACCTAGCACTGACGCAAAAATTAGGATTTGCAAAGTTGGAGCAAAATTGGATTATCCTTTCTCTTTTTGTGCAAAAAATATATTTTTTGAAAGTTTCGTTCTTTTTATGGGGAAGGTACCAGAAAGAGTGGACCGATATTGCCCATCTCGGAACTCGATCTAAGTTTGACAAAAATATGACTATGTACCAAGTTTGGACCAAATCGGATACTCCCTTCGAGAGTTATCGTGCGCACCAACCAGACAAACAGACGGACGGACATCGCTAGATCGACACCAAATGTCCTAAAAAGGATTTGGTCCAAAGAGACCTAGGGTGTATAACCAATGTTTCGATGAGTCACGTTTTGGCCGTATAAAATGACATACACCATCTCTAGCCATATGGCTGAGGATATACAAAATTTGCACAACAAATAGGTTACACAAGGTACGAAAAAGACCCATTAGTGTTGCCGTAAATGCAACGTAGACGTTATTGGAATTTAGAGAAAAAAAAAACAATCAATTTTTTTACTCGACCAAAACGTGAGCTGAATTTACTCTGTCTCCCCTTATCTCTCTATTTTTACCACAATAGCAATTTCAACCGAAAAATAGCTTCAATTTAACCTTAATTTAATCCTTCCTGCTTCATCCTCTGGGATATTTCCAATGAAAACAATTAGTTGTTTGCATTGCGCAAACAATTACATTCATGTTATATCCTGTTCGTCAATCACACAATATGTTGTCATACACATGATCATGGGGAATTTGCCGGTCAAACATATGTACGTACATATGTGTGTTGGTAATACAATTCGGGGAAATCTTTGCTATAGGGCTTTTCCAGCTTATCCCGGTATTCGCATGCCAATTCCAGTTTAATAATTCATATGTAAATAATGTTGTTGTTGTTGTTCTTTCTGGGCATATCTGTTTTACATAAATACAAATGTGTCAGTGAATGTGTGTGTGTGTGCGTGCATGATTACAACGTACACGCGATTTAATGAATTGTTAAGTAGATTTTCATGGAGAATCATTGAGGAAATTCACACACACACACACACACATCTGCATACAATGACATACAGCCTTTGGGTAAATTGCCTTCTCCCCCTGATTGTTGTAGTTTTCTGTTGTTGTTATTATTGCTACAAGTCGCTAACTGTTACCAATAAAACAAATGGACGTCCAATAAAATATAATTATTTTACACATGTCTCCGCCACCATTGAAGGATGTACACGTGTATTCACCTGGCTAAGGGTTTTAGGGGGGAAACGATAGAGGGTTGTGGATTGCTTTTTTGTGAGCCCTCTTTTTGAGATCCCAAGTGTTGTGTTTTTTAATTAAGTTGCGAAAAATGCCAAGGGTCCTTGTAAATATTTCGAATTTAAATGGGCTCACAAAGGCGAGACTTTAAAAATAAAATGCGCCATTAATTAGGGATAGCAAAGTCGACTTTCGGTTAAACGACTTTTAGTGCTCTAAGCGCCAAAAGTGGCTATCGACTACGGACTGTGGTGAAAAACTATTTATCGATACATAACTGATCGAACTGAACAATCGTCTCTCATAATGAATTGATTCAAGAATATTTGTTTGTTTGACACTTTTCTTCCCAAAGAAATGAGTATTAAGGTGAAAATACATAAAACGCTTTTTTTGACTGGCTTAAGTCATCGGCTGGCTTCTTCGTAGAGGTAAAAAGGAGTTTTAGGTTGATTTAGTTCGATTTTGGCTCTAATGCCATGTTTACGTTAGAACTTTTTGTAGGGTTAACCTACTTTGATAGGATTTATTTGAAGTAAAAGTAATGGATATGACAATTTAAATCCAAATCCAGTGGGTTAACCCTCATATATATAAACGTACTGTAAGCTCCTTTGTTCTTTTCGGAAGAAGCCAGCCGATGACTTAGGCTGGAAATACATAAAGAGCATATTAGGCTGGCTGAAGTTATCGGCTGGCTTCTTCGGAAATGAACAAAGGAGCCTAGGCCCAAAATCGAACTAAGTCAACCTAAAACACCTTTGTTCATCTACGAAGAAGCCAGCCGATGACTTAAACCAGCCAAATAAGCGCTTTATGTATTCCCAGCTTTAAGCCACTCAAATAAGCGTTTAGGCTGGGAATACATAAAGCGCTTATTTGGCTGGCTTTAGTTATCGTCTGTCCGCCTGTCTATTAAAAGCCCACATTATTTGAAGTAGAGCTTCAAAATTCTGACAGAACCCTTTGTATTCTGTCTCGGATGGTTGGTATTGAAAATGAGATATATTGGTCCATATTTTTGTATAGCCTCCATATAACGTTACCTCCCGACATTCGGTATTCTGATGATTTGTGCCACATTTGTCCAAGGATGTATCCAAAAATTGGTATTTGTTGGTCATAATGGGTTCTAGCACCGGTGGCGAAACATTGTATGTATAGGTCCACGTTTTGGTATAGCCCCCATATAATGGTACCTTCCGATATTCGGTATTTTAAAAATTTTAGCGACATTATTCACCGGAATTGTTTCAAATTTGGTATTTAAAGCTCGTAACGGATACTACATCCTATGACAGAAAAGTGTCTGTGCAGGTCCATGCCTTCGTATAGCCCCCATATAAAGACGCCTCCCAATATTCGGTATTTTGATGATTTTAGCGACATTATTCACCGGAAGTATTTCAATTTGGTATTTGAAGTTCGTAATGAATATTACAGCCTATGACAGAAAATTGTCCGCGCAGGTCCATGTGTTCGTATAGCTCCCATATAACGGTACCTCCCGATATTCGGTATTTTGATAATTTTAGCGACATTATTCACCGGAATTATTTCAAATTTGGTATTTGAAGTTCGTAATGGATACTACAGCCTAAGACAGAAAATTTTCCGTGCAGGTCCATGCCTTCGTATAACCCCATATAAAGGTACCTCCCTATATTCGGTATTTGGATTATTTTAGCTACATTATTAATCGGAATTCTTTATTTGAAGTTCGTAATGGATACTACAACCTGTGACAGAAAATTGTATGTACAGGTCCATGCCTTCGTATATATATATATATATATATATATATATATATATATATATATATATATATATATATATATATATATATATATATATATATATATATATATATATATATATATATATATATTCCGTATTTTGACGATTTTACGTACAATATTCAGCGAAATTGTTTGAAATTTTGTATTTGAAGTTCCTAATAGGTACTACTACAGCCTGTGACAGAAAATTGTCTAGCAGGTCCAGGTCTTCGTATAGATCCGATAAAACTGTAGCACCCTATATTTGGTATTTTTATGATTTTAGCTACATTTTTCACCGGATTTTTTGCTTCAAGTTTAGTATTCGAATATTGTAATGACTTATGACAAAAGTTGCCTATGCCGGTCCACTTCTTCGTATAGACACCAATATAACGACCACATTCGGTATTTTTGAGATTTTAACAAAATTTTTAAACGGATTTTTTTTGAAAAATTTCCAAATTCGTTCCAAATGGTGGAGGGGATTCAAAGTTCGGCACGGCCGAATTTACAGCTTTTTTACTTGTTCGGTGTTTTATGGAAGTTCGTTGTAATCCCAAGCTCTCCCTTCGTTTTGTACCTGTTGCAGATCCTGCTGCCTGTTGTTGTTGTTGTGGCACTGGTGCTGGTTGGCCGCCATCATCGCTGGCAAAAGTGAAAAGTCGTAATTTGGCAAAGTCTTTCCACGATATCCCGTGGACGGCAAGCAAATGGCAACAGGATAATGCCAAAAACATCAACACATTTTTCATTATGGATATCCTGTGGAAATTCATAGCACAGCAGGTTGTTTCAAGGTAATTTCTTATTTTACACACAGACACACACACACGTTTTGGGCGAGGGAAGCAACTTTTTTGTTTATCGCATATATATGTATTTATTGTTTAACAACGCAATCCACTGAATGTCCTTTTGATTTCACTTTATGTACTATGCAGATAAACAGACACACAAACGCACGCACATAGGTGTCGAATATAGTCCTCTCTGTGATCTACTTTTTTGCTTTTTTTTTGTTAAATGGAAACACGGCAACGTTCTGTCGATGGTACGTTAACAACACACACGTTCACTCTGTAGTTGACCAACAATCACTGATGAATTTGTTAACAATTTAAATTTTTATATGACAAATATGGCCAGAAAGCACACACCGACACAGCCACAGCCACAGAGTACCCCGGCACACAGGTGAGTACTTTTGTTCACTTGAAAATGAAAATGAAAACAGAGCAAAAAACAAACTCACACAGACACACACACTGTGCACCATTAATTGTCCACTCTATGTAATTTCAACAAATTGCAGCAGAGATGGGTAAGGCATGGCACGCCTAATTTTTAAATACTAATAGGTATAATTATACCCGCAGCCATATGACTAGAGAGGGTATATATCATTTAATACGGCCAAAACGTGGCTCATAGAAATAACAGTTTTAGACCCCACGTCTCTTTGGACCAAATCCGCTTCAGGACATTTGGAGTCGATCTAGTTCGCAGATGGGCGATATCGGTCCATTCCTTCTGGCACCTCCCCCACAAAACGTCAACATTTTCAAAGAAAATAATTTACTGCACAGAAAGAGAAAGGATAATCCGGGTTTGCTCCAACTTTGCAGATCTTAATATTTTTATTATCCCAAGGTATATGGGGCCTATACGAAGACCTGTACCTGCATAGACAATTTTCTGTCACAGTCTGTAGTTTCCATTACGAACTCTAAATACGTAATTTGAAACAAGTCCGCTAAAATCATCAAAATACCGAATTTTGGGAGGTACCGTTATATGGGCGCTATACGAAGACGTGGACCTGCATAGACAATTTTCTGGCATAGGCTGTAGTATCCATTTCGAACTTCAAATGGGAAATTTGAAACAATTCCGGTAAATAATGTCGCTTAATCATCAAAATACCGAATATCAGGGGGTACCGTTATATGGGGGCTATACGAAGACATGGACCTGCACATACAATTTTCTATCTTAGGCTGTAGTATCCATTTCGAACTTCAAATACCAAATTTGAAACATTTCCGGTCAATAATGCCCCTTAAACCACCAAAATAACGAAAATAGGGAGGTATCATTATATGGGGGCTATACCAAAACGTGGTCCTACATGGCCCATTTTCAACACCAAAAGTCCTGCAGACATAATATACATATGAGTAGAATTTTATTAACCTACTTCATTTCGTTCGGAAGCTAGAGTGATTTCCACGGACGGATAGACGGACGTCGCTAAAATGACAGCAGTCTGAAGTTGGTCGCAGTTTTTTCATCTCCCGCTGTATATCATTTGATACGGCCAAAACGTGCCTCATCGAAATAAAGGTTTTAGAACCTAGGTCTTTTTGGATCAAATCTGTTTCAGGACATTTGGAGTCGATCTAGTTCAGAGATGGGCAATATCGATCCACTCCTTCTGGTACCTCCCCCAGAAAATGTCAACATTTTCAAAGAAAACAATTTACTGCACAGAAAGAGGAAGGATAATCCCGGTTTGCTCCAACTTTGCAGATCCTAATATTTTTATTATCCCAAGTTATGGTGTGAAGATGGAATATATCGGTTTACTCCTTCTGGTACCTCTCCCACAAAGGATCAAAATTTTGAATATTCATGAAGCTCATAGAAACAGGAAATTAACATCCAATTTCATTCAGACTTGACACTTCTCAATATTTCCATGAACACAATATATGTTATGAAGATGATAGAGATCGGACCATTCCTTCTGGTACCTCATCCACAAAGGATCAACGTTTTGAATAACAAAAACGATAATAAAATCCGAAATGATCATACGGTTCTCTTCAAATTACACACATCAACGATATCTAATGTTGCCCCGCCTTATTTCCAATTGGCGCCCAATGTTGGACATCCAGTTGTTGGATTGTCAGGAATATACACAACATATCCACATTCCCACACACAAACATACACACACACATATAGTACCACACAGCACTTAAGCGATGTAATGCTTGGTTAGATTTGCTTTACGGTCGCAAATTAAAAAACCCTGCTCTGACTCTCTACGGACCAATGAGAACTGAAAAAAAAAACCAAAGTGAAAATATTCGTACATTCCGAAAAGCAAACACACATATAGAACACACACAGATGTACGAACGCTATTAACATGGACGACAAAGGCACTGAATAACACATTTCTACGTTTCCCCAAAGGAAGCGGTAGTTTTGTTGTTGTCGTTGTTGTTGTTATTTTTCCATTCCAACGCTAAAGCACCTGAGTGAGCATTATTAACACTTTGCCACCTTTGGATAGTCAATGTTGGCAAATTACCACCAGCCACCATTGCCGCTACCACGGCCATTGGTCGCCACCTCGACTATTGACCTTATTTTTTTCGGGAGGGGAAAATATCTCAGTTAGTGGAAATTCGAAGTACACACATACGTACATATGTGATTGAGTAGCAGCATTCCATGTTTAAATGAAATTTACATATTCCTCCCCCCAACTCCCCCACCACCGCCACTTACTTCAATAAAGTTTATTTTATAGAAAAGTTTGCTGTGTATTAGTTTTTCCTCCCTCCCCCCCCCCCTCACTAATTCGATTTTAACAACTTAATCGCTTCCATTTGAATTGTCAAACGTAAACAGAAACACGAGCATAAATAATTGACATACGCGCGTATTTTCCCGGAATTGTTGTTTTTTTTTTCAGAACGTTTTTCAATGGCACTTCAACTGGAATGTATTTTTTTTTTTTTGTAGTGACCTTAGATTATTCTCTGGTCTATAGTCGGAAAGAATTTTTAGGATGAGAAATTTTACCCTGTGAATAATCCGTCTTCAAGTACGTTTAGACTTATTAAATCGAGTGACAAGTGAAATCCAACGGATTTTTTAAGTCTTAATGTACTTTCCGCATTTAGGATAAATAAATCTACTACTCACAAAGGAGTATGAGGGGGGAGGTACCAGAAACAATTATCCGATCTCTACTATATTTATAAAAAAGTTTATTGATGGAAATATTGAGAAGTACCAAAGTCTAATTTCGCATTTTTTGAGCTTCATGGATATTCAAAATTATACCCTCCACCATAGGATGAAGAATATATTAAGTTTGTCATTCCGTTTGTAACACCTCAAAATATACATTTAGATCAGCATATAATTCTATGTCGATTTAGTCTATCCGTCTGTGGAAATCACTCTAGCTTCCGAACGAATTGAAGTAGATTGATAAAATTTTTCTCAAATGTGTATTATGTCTGCAGGACTTTTGGTATAGAAAATAGACCATGGGCCACCCTATTTTCGGTGGTTTTTTCGGTTATTTTTGGTGGTTTAAGCGGCATTATTCACCGGAAATATTTCAAATTTGGTATTTGAAGTTCGTAATGACTGCTACAGCCTATGACAGAAAATTATCCGTGCAGGTTCACGCCTTCGTATAGCCCCTATATGACGGTACCTCCCGATATTCGGTATTTTGATGATTTTAGCGACATTATTCACCGGAATTGTTTCTAATTTGGTATTTGAAGTTCGTAATGGATTCTACAGCCTATGACAGAAAATTGTTCACGCCTTCGTATAGCCCCTATATAACGGTACCTCCCGATATTCGATATTTAAATGATTTTAGCGACAATATTTATCGGAATTCTTTGAAATTTGGTATATGATGTTCGTAATGGATGCTACAGCCTATGACAGGAGATTGTCTGTGCAGGTCCACGTCTTCGTATAGCCCCATATAACGGTACCTCCCGATATTCGGTATATTGATGATTTTAGCGACATTATTCATCGGAATTCTTTGAAATTTGGTATATGATGTTCGCAATGGCTGCTACAGCCTATGACAGAAAATTGTCCGTGCAGGTTCACGCCTTCGTATTGCCCCCATATAACGGTACCTCCCGATATTCGGTATTTTGATGATTTTAGCGACAATATTCATCGGAATTCTTTGAAATTTGGTATATGATGTTCGTAATGGATGCTACAGCCTATGACAGGAGATTGTCTGTGCAGGTCCACGTCTTCGTATAGCCCCCATATAACGGTACCCCCGATATTCGGTATTTTGATGATTTTAGCAACATTATTCACCGGAATTGTTTCAAATTTGGTATTTGATATTCGTAATGGATTCTACAGCCTATGACAGGAGATTGTCTGTGCAGGTCCACGTTTTCGTATAGGCCCCATATAACGGTACCTCCCGATATTCAGTATTTTGATGATTTTAGCGACATTATGCACCGGAATTGTTTCAAATTTGGTATTTGAAGTTCGTAATGGATACCTCAGGCAGAAACTTGTCTGTGCAGGTCCACATTTTGGTATAGCCCCCATATAATACCTCCCAATATTGATGATATTAGCTACATTATTTACCGGATTTTTGTCAAGTTTCGCATTTGAATATTGTAATGGCTTATGACGTCGTCGTTTAGACCCTAATATGACTACATTGGTATTTGGTATTTTTAAGATTTCAACAGAATTTTTAACGGATTTTATTTTATTTATTTATTTATTTATTTTTTTTTTTTGAAAATTGCCAAATTCGTTTCAAATTGTGGAGGGAACTTACAGCATTTTTACTTGTTAAGAGTTAAAATTATTCAAAATTTTAACCCTATGCGGGAGAGGTACCAGAAACAGTGCGCCGATATATCCCATCTTCACAGCAGATCTTGTGTTAATAGAAATAATGGGATGTGCGAAATTTGATGAGAATCGGATGCTTATTTCGTATTTTATGATTGTTTTGGTTATTCAAAACTTTGACCCTTTGTGGTGGAGGTACTAGAAGGAATGGTTCGATCTCTAAGATATTTGTAACATATCTTGTGTTGATGGAAATATTGAGCAGTACCAAGTCTAAATGAATTCGGATATTTATTTCGTGTTTTCTGAGCTTATGATTATTCAAAATTTTGACCAGAAGGAGTGGACCGATATATCCCATTTTCACCCTAAACCTTTGGTTAATAAAAATATTGTGATATGTATAATTTGAATAGAACCGGATGCTTATTTCGGATTTTATGATCGTTTTAGTTATTCAAAACTTTGACCATTTGTGGGGGAGGTACTAGAAAGAATGATCCGATCT